GTCGTCCAATTAGGCACGGTAGGATGAATGCCTACCAGAACACACTCACGATAGGGTTGGAGCTACCTCCAAGGCAAGGGGCCATTTAGCGACGCCCAAGTCAAAGGCATGTGGATAGAGGCGTTTTCTCGTAACGGCGCCAACGGTGTCTCGGTGTGTCTCGACCATCCCACGTGCTGTCCCGCCACCAACGTCCTGGCTGAGGTGTGAACATTCTGGAGTGTTTCGTCCGAAACCGATAGCGTATGGCGCTTCGGAGCGGTGGGGGACGGCGAGAGACGCAGAGGGCAATGAACGGAGTTTGAAAGGGGCACCGTGCCGGAAGCCGGACTTCGCTTCTTTGACGTTGGAGGCCCCGTTCTTAGGTCGTCCCGCCGCACCGATGGTGGACGGAGGCGGCCACCCTTCCAGAGGTGTGACCCCGAGCCTCTTTCGGTAGGCGAACCAAACTTTGACCTCAGCTGTCGACGGCAGGTGGGTGTGTGATGGGGCCTGCAATCTATGTCCACGTGTCGGAGCTGGAGCTGGAAAGACGGACGAACCATGACACCCATATCGCATATCGCATGGCGCACGGCATAGTTAGTTGCTGACGAAACGAAGGATGGCAGCGGCTGGAACGCGTGGGTGCACAGCAAAAGTGACGGAACGTCTCTTCAGGTTCGCAAGGCGAGGCGAGGCGAGGCGAGGGGTGGCGACGTATGGGAGTGGCCGCGGGCCGGATCAGCTGGGCTCGCACTACGCCTCAAAGGGGGAAGAGCAACATGGAACAGAACATGGGAGGGAAGCAATGGAAGGGAGGGAGGGGAGAGAATGCCGCACGACCAGAGCCAGAAGCAGGCAGACCCTAACGCAGCGGGAAGTCTATTCTGGGGAAGCTTGGGCCAGGCATGCAAGGCTGACAATCCGGGCGTGTCAAGTGGGGCCGGATCGACACGTGGCCAATCATCAAGCTACGACATCCGGAAGTGATGCACGGCACAGAGAACCTTTTTTTTCCCCTATGGCGGGATTCCACTCATGTCAGGCGCTCAGCCCATTGGCAGCTTTGCAAGAATACTGGGCCGAAAAACAGAGACGCCAGGGGTCCGTCAAGGATGGGGTCCTCTTATTCGACAAATAAGAGGCGAGTAGCTGTGCCAATGAGTGGAATCCGGAAGCAGAGAGATTTTACAGTACCTTTTAGACTTGGCGGCCATCGCACGACCTCCCCTCCAGCGCCTGAAATATCATACGATTTCCCTACGAAGTGGTTGACTTTTTGATACGCGCTCTCACTGTGCCCCGGTCGCCGCCAAAGCTGGCGAATTCGAGGTCAGGCCATTCCGCCCGTTCCTCCGTCACTCATTCATCCAATTGGCAACCTTTTGCACATTTTTTTTTCTTTGCCCACACACACACACACATACACACACACACTCACTCACTCACTCTCTGTTTGCGTAGAGTCTGCTTCGGCCGTCCACGGTCTTGTTCCGGGTAGCTCACCGTACGGGATCCGGCGCGGGTCCATTCTGTGTCCCTAAACATCAGTCGACTTTGTCTTCGTCTCTCCGGCGCAATACATTTCTCTGCTGCTCTATTTGCTGCTCTGCCTCGCGCCTCGTGCCTCTCTCCCGCGCCCCTCCCCCAGCGCCAGCCAACCCAACACCGGCTACCTGCTCGTCAACACTCTTCTCCGTTCTTTCCTCTTCCTCCCGTCCCGTCTCGACGGATACAGCTACACACCTACCTGCCGACCGAACGACCTTTCTGCCTGCCGCCTGCCTCCCGTTGCTCCCTGCCGCATACACGTAAGGTGTGACCAGTCATTTTCGTCTCTGCCTCCACAAAAATCTCCCCAACCCTCAACTCTTTTCTTGTCCTTTCCCCGTGTTTGGACGCATCTCGTTGTCGCTTTCCGTACCCGTCAGCGCTCTGCTCTCCTCTGATTTGTCTCCTGCTCTTGGTCCTGCTGTTGCTTCTACCTACCTTACCATACGTCTGCGCATCTGCCCTGCCCTCGTCTCGTCTCCGTCACAACCCGCCTGTCTTAGTCGCAAGTCTCGACCAAGTCCTTCGAGCATTTGGACCTTGGCTGACCTTAATAAGCGAATCCCGGCCTCATCGCCCTGCCGACCTCTCTACTTGAGGTGCCGCACCTCTACGAACCCAGAACCTTTGACGGACCTTGAACGCGACCGACTTCTTTGTCTTGCACTGCATCCTGCATCTCGATCCATCCCTGCCGACTCCTACGACTTCTGCGAGTTTCCCTTGCCGCCATTGACGACGCTGCCATTGCATTCCGACTTCGACTTGATTGGCTATACGAGGTGGTACGACTGTCCATCTTGAATCGCCAAACTCTGCCCCCCTCCAACCAAGAAACGTACGAGATCTCTGAGTCCTCGCTGCTCAGCACTCATCGGCATACGATCGCGCCGAGCACCCACTCTCCCTTCCACAAAAAGACAATATCGATTTCTAGATCGACGACCGCCGACATTTCGGGGGCCGAAATGCTGGCTTTGTGGTAATGGACCCCAACTTCTTAAAGAACCTCGACTACTTCGCCGTCCCAAACAACCAAACGAATAATTCTGTCGAGCAACCCGCCGAATCTTCGGCCGCAGGTGCTGCGAGAAATGCTCCCGATCCTTCTCTCTGGGAGACCCTAGGGGCCGATCAGAGCAACTCTGAATCGACTTCCAATGGCCCCTCCTCAATGCCCTCTTTTGCTCAGGCCTCGCCTGTCAGCACGAATTTCGGCATGGGTGCTATGCCTGCTCAAATGTCCTTTGGACATGGCCAACCCAGAAATGCTTTGCCGACACGCACAGCCCAGAATGCTGGCCAGAGGCGGAGGGACGGTCACGATCGAAAGCGGACCAAGGTGGATTCCGAGGCTGCGGCACTAGAATCAGTCGATTACTGGATCCAATTCGACGATGACGATGAGCAAAAGCTCGGCGGTAGCTTCGAAATCGACTTTTCTAAGCGAAGACATCCGACCCAACATTATCCTAGGTATGCTCTCAGCCGCTCTCAGAAGTCGACGCATCTGAGCGACTTCGCTAACTCTCTCTAGACCACCGGCTGCGAATCGTCTGAATCCCATGTCAACAACCCCGGGCTTGGGCGCTGGACTGTACACAAACCCTGTATTCAAACCGGAGGACTTTATGGACGACACCGCCCTTGACAACGCTCTCTCCGACGACGAAGAGCTTCTGGAGTCCATGAACCTAGGCGATCAGCTCGGTAAGATCGAATCGCAACCCCCTTCCGAGGTTCCGCCGCGAGAGGGCCTTTATTCGACGCCCCTGAGTTGGGAGAAGCCTGCGCCCGGCCTGCGGATGAACCCTCTATTTGGCATGGGCGGCATGGGAGGCATGGGCACGCCCATGCTCGATCCGGAGCAGCGACGTCTGCTGGCCATTGCCCTCAACACCGGTCGTTCATCAACTAGTCTAGGCGCCGGAATGGGGTTCGGGGTTGGCGCAGACCTGGGCCCCGAGTTTGCAAGTCTCGAGAATTTCGATGCCGGCATGGCGACGGCAAGCATGGATGAACTCACGAGGGGCCCCGAACAGTCGGGTCTCCACAGTAAGGGGAAGGAAAAGGAGAGAGACAGTGTAGAAAAAGACTCGAAGAACCAACGGCCGCAAGTGTCTCGAACTACGACGGCTGCAACTGGGGCCTCTGAAAAGTCTAAAGACAAGGCGAAGGCTGGCGGCGACCGAACGGCACATAACGACATTGAGAGAAAGTACCGCACCAATCTCAAGGACAAGATCTCCGAGCTTCGCGACGCTGTACCATCACTCAAGTCGATACCCGAGGAGGGAGGCGAAGACGCCGAAGTGGACAGTCAGTCGCAACGCGGGCCCAAAGTCAGCAAGGTAAGCGGTGATGCGGCCATTTAGCTTCACACAACATATACTGATACAGGTTTAGGGTACTGTCCTCACGAAAGCAACCGAGTATATCCATTACCTTGAACGAAGAAACAAAGCCATCATGCGCGAGCATCAGGAACTCGCCAGGCGCCTACAAGCCTTTGAGCAACTGTTGAGTGCAACGGCGCGGCAACCCTTTCCCATGCCGAATTACAGCAGAACCTTGTTCGACCCGAGAGGCTTCTGTTAACATCTCTCCCCTTATCACATTACGCATTATGATTGCGAAACTGTACATATTTTGTTGTCAAGGGCTATTATTTGCCCAAAAATATACGATTGCGATCAATCTACGAAGCATGAATAGGCAGGCATATACAAAATAATTCAAGGTTATCAGACCTTTATTCGGGTTCTGGCACTATCGGTCAATTCCTCCGGGGATGTACTGAAGGCGATTCTTCTGTTCCGGATGGCATTTTCGGCATGGTTCTGATGTGACAGGTCATACACTGCTCTATGTCTGGCGCATATCCTTTTAGCAACCTAGAAAGGACATTTTGGATTCATTGGAGTATTTTCGATGAGCACAGATGTCGAGCTGCGTGTGAGGTCCCAGACACCTCTAAAATTGTGGCGAACACCCTTTTGTTTCAATTGGCGTGCTACCTCAAGTTGTCAGCGGAATGATGATCTCATCTTGGCAACCAAATCGGTTGACTGACATGACCCCAATGGCATCCTGTTCGTGCAGCTGGTCTACAAGAAACGGGGAACGTCCACTTGTGGCAGATGAGAAGCCCGCCTATTCCATGCGGAACCTTCCATGGGGTACCTCCCCTGGCACGTCAAGGGACTCCGAAGACAAGGGTCCTGTTTTGGCATACCGGGAGAAACAACTCTCACAACATTCGTTGTTAGCTCAGCTCGACGGGCAGATACGCCACGTTGAAGGCAGCTCCTGGAGGTTTGCAGAGACACTCAGGAACAAGTGTACGTTGCTTGCATAGCGGACGCTACGCCGTATTTTGTGTGTAGAGACACGACTTCTGTGCCACCCTGGCTTAATAGTGTACACCTTTGATTACAAAATTTTGATCCTTTTCGGTTTCACAGGGTTCAGTCCCTGAGAGCCTCAATATCGACAACCTCCTTTACAGCTTCTGTCGAGAGAACATACGGTGACTCGGTATCCACACAGACGCTGTCCTCAATCCGAACTGCCATACCACGGAAGTGCTCCGGCCAACGGTCTGTATCCGGAACGTAGATACCAGGCTCGATGGTCACGCAGTGTCCGGCTTTCAGCGGCGTTCTCCTGCCATAGCCAGGAACATCGTGGACATCCAGGCCGACGTAGTGACCAACATGGTGCGGAAATAAGACATCAAGATCGCGGGAGGTGATGTCGAAGCCTAGGCTCTTGAGCTGCTCGAGCAGACCGTTTGCCGTTTGGTCGTGAATGTCGTCGAGGGAGAGATTGGCGTTCTCACGGCAAAGGGACACGCTTGAACGTTGAACGGCGAGAACGGCTTCATAGAGGTCCTTCTGTGCCGCGCTGAACTTGCCGTTTATAGGCCAGGTGCGAGAGATGTCAGTGATGTATGTGCCGTACTCTCCACCCGCGTCGACGAGAATCATCTCGCCGTCTTTCATCGCGTTGTTATTCACAACGTAATGAATGCAAAGACCATTTTGCCCGCCTGCTACGACGGGGACGTATGCCGGCCCGTCACAGCCGTCTGCGGTGAACCTGTAATCGAGAAAGGCGTGGAGGTCCTTCTCGCGGGTCCACTGCTTGCGCATGGCGTCGGTGATGACCCGGCCCGAGATCTGTCCAGCGCGGCGCATGTTTGCGACCTCTGCCGGGGACTTGATACACCGTAAAGAGTTCATGAGAGGGTACAGAGGAATCTTAACCGAGGGAAACCATGACTTTTCGCTCTTCATGAGCTGCCATAGTTTGTTCTCTTGCTCGCCCTGCCTCGGTTTCTCGAGGTCTGTGTAGACGCGGCTCGCCGACTTCACGATATCGGGGAGGTACTGGTGGATCTTGTTAATATCGCCCGCCTTGTCGGCGTTGAAGATATCCGTAGCGGCCTGGATGCCATTCCTGGCACCTGACCACTGCTCGGCCGCCGGGTTCTTGGGCTGAGTGAACAGGTGGAACAGGTAGTCGCCGAATTCCTTGCCCGTCTTCTGGATGACAGCCACGGAATCGCCCTCATTCCAGCCGGTCAGGTACAGAAAGTTGGACTCTTGGCGATAGGGGAAGAAGACGGCACCGGAGCGGTACTTGAGGTCGGCGGCAGACAGGACGGCAACGCCACCGTCGGGCAGCTTCTCAGCCAGGCGAGCACGTCTCTCCCAATATTCCTGGGCTGTGATACCCGGAGTGACTAAACATATAAGTCAGCCCAAGATGATTTTATTCGGGATCTTTACTGAGAGTTTGAGGGCAAATTATTGAATGCTATGGGCAGTGATTGGGTGAAGATTGTACTGACTCTCGCCGGCTTTGAGAATGTGAGGATGCGTCTCATGCACTGGCTGGCCAAACTGGAGATCGGCAGCAGAGACGGCAGCGTAGCGGCGGATCTGACGACTCGATGGGAGTGACGGGCGCCACAAGGGCACGGAATTGCAGCATCGCAGTCTCTGAGCGGCCCGAAGAGCGCTGCTCACTGGACGTGAGGGGTTCATGACCAGAAATGGAGCGATGTGCAGGGGATGTAGGGCGGCAGGTGAGATTTATGAACGAGAAGGGATGGGTTCTACGATCCGGATGAGGTCATCACGGAAGGCAGTGGAGGTAACTGCAATCGTCTGCACTGTACCGGACGGAGCGAGGATGGGCTAAGGGCCGAAGGCTGCTGCTGACTGACTCGTCAAAGAGTGATTAGTTCAGCGCATGCGGCCTTTCCGCAAGGACTGAGACCGAGACGGGACGGGTGAGAGATGCCCGTTTGGGAATCGGGCCACCAGGACGAGGAGCGGACGATGGGATGATGCAGAGATTTGTTTGTTTGGAGTGGATGTTTTTTATGTATCTAAGGAGTGGAAGAAGACAATGGAGTTGCATGGCGTTTATTGCCGTGGACATTAATGTCGTACATATGTAACTAAGGCAAGTAAATGCAGCAGCATGCAGCAATACAGCATGCAATGTGAAAGTGCCATGTCGAAAGAAACTGGATGCATCCATGTTTTGCCAATTGGGCGGCCCCCCAGTTGCGGCAGGATTTTTTATTGTTTTCCCACTGCAGCTCCATCCGTCCAATTTCCAGGCCGCCGCCGGATCAGGTCGCTACCTAGGTACCAGTTGTTATTGTGGTCGGGTACTAGAATGCCAGATTACAGCGAGCCTCCACTGTAGTACGGCAGCTGTGAACCTACCTAAAGTAAGGTAAGGTAGGTAACCTAAGTGTGAAGAGTCACTGAGAGAAGACGCGCCGCTGCGGGTACTGTGCAGGCAGGGCCAAGCAAATTTGACCGGTTGCCAGAGAAGAAACTGGCCCGTGCGTGTTTTCCACGCTGCCGAACGGGGATTAGTGCTGTTGTTCCCCCCCCGAAAACCCATCAAGCGCGACTTAGGTGACCGGGTCCCGGACAGGCCAGGCACAGGCAGTGAGTGAACCAAGACGGGGGTGGTCTTGCTTATGGGCTGGGATGATGGCCGGGGACTCCTCCCACACACGCACCGCACACACACACACAACACCAACCACTCCTCCTCCTACCTACCTACCTACCTCCATATTAATAAAGCTCTGCCTTGAACCTGCCCACTCGCACACCCGTGTTCTGGCTGCTTCTTTTTGGCTTCACGACGAACCTCCACGACGACTTCCTCTCCTTCTCGCATCTCCCTCCCTCCTCACGGCCGCCCAGCGCATTCGATGTCTTCGTGAACCCACGACACGCTCTCTGTCGGAACGCGTGAGCGACGTGTCAGCCTCCACGTCGCGTGCCCATCCCGTCCCGTCCCGTCCACAGAGCAACCCCCCGCCTCGCTCTCGACCGACATACAAACCCACACCACCACACAAACAAAACAACAACCTTTCCTTTCCCACGTCGAGCATATTGATTGGGCATTTTTATGGCAGCCATATCCCTATCGCCCACTCCAATCCCTCTCACGGCCATGTCCACTAGACGAACGCCTTTGTCTAGCAACCCCAATGTGGCCAATTCGCCCTTGAGATCTGCTTCTGCTCTGGCTCTCGCCAAGCAGAGGCGTTCTCATGCCAACATCCAGAGAGAAGAGCTGTACGGTCAGCCGCCGCCTTTGAAGAAGCAGGTCGTCGAGAACACTGTATCCCGCCACCAACGCTCCCCGTCCAAGATCGCCAAGCCTTCCCAACTGCCCCAGCGTGTCGCCCGCCCCGTAACGAAAGAACGCTCCACCCACCACCACGATGATGCGAACGTCGACAAGATCAGACAATGGCAGGCCGAATATCGCGGCCGCTTCCCCAAGATGGTCTTCTACTTCGACAGTGTTGCCGAGGACCAGAGGGCCAAGCTTTCCCGCCATGCCATGTCTCTTGGAGCTGTATGTCGCAGCACATGTGTTGAAAATACTTTTTGGTCACTAATATGTCATGTGTAGAGAGACGAACGCTTCTTCTCGAGCAGCATCACTCACGTCGTGACCGCCCGTCCAGTTCCTGCACAGGAGGAAGTGCACGCCCCCGCACACCAAGACCCCGAGCCCGAAGAGCAGCCACAGACCATCAACCCGTCTCTTCTAGACCGGGCCCCCGATGCACGAAGACGTTTATTGTTTGATCACCCGTCGAGACGGACTCACACCCAGCCGCAGGATGACGGAGTCAGGCGTGCGCGTCCTACGCGCAGCAATGATGTCCTGCACAAGGCTCGTGACATGGGAAAGAAGATTTGGTCGGTCGAAAAATTCCAGAGGATGCTGCAGTTTCTGTTGGAGCCCGATCCGCACGTTGTCGCCCAAATTGGCCACAAGGGCGAGTCCAGGAGCTTGAGCACCAAGAGAACTGCAGACGAGCCAGGCCTGATGCAGTTGCTGCAAAAGGAGAGACTCAATGGTCCTTCTGACGCCGTCACAAGCCGGGAGATGATCAATTTCAAGGGACCGTATATATACGTCTACGACATTGACGAGAAGCAGAAGCCCATTATGGTGCGGGAGTACCCTAAGGTCAACAACAAGTACGACGGTGAATGGCCCCAGTTTAGGACTGTCACGGATGGCCGCTGCCCTTTCGTCGAGGAGCCGGAACAGGCTGAGCGACCGAGCCGTAAACCACAACCGCAGCAAAAGGAGCTGAAGGAGCCCAAGGGCGACAAAGAGCGCGTTACGAAGCCTGTGGACGAGGAGAGGGCGTCTCTTCAGCCCCCTGAAGTTCCTGCGCCCAAGACTGTCATTGGCAAGCGTACCCTCGCCGAGATGCAAGACGGCCAGAACAAAGACAAGGCCCCAGTGAAGCCCGTAGAGATGTTCAACCCGCCCAAGGTTGTTGCCTCTAATCCTATTGACTTCCGACCCCAGAATGCCTTCACCAGCCGTGCTGGTACGGCACGTTTCTTCGCCGGCGAGCCTGTGGCCTCGGGTCTTCAGCCGTCGAATGTTACTTCGGCCATTCGCTCTCAGATGATCTCTTCTACTTCGGGTGTCAATGGAGCAAAGGCCGGCACCAGCAAGGAAGTCCATGGTCTGCAGCGCAAGGTGCTGCAGAGAGGTGCCCCAGTGCCTCACGATCCCAGCTCTCGTCGACTGACTGAGATGAGCTTGGATGCCACGTCTACCAGATCTACCAGCGTTTCCAGGACCACCAGCAGACGGATGGAGCTCATTGAAGAGGATGCTGAGAAGCAAACTGCCAAGCTTGTTCGAACCAGCTCTAAAACTCAGGCGCCGCCTGCCAAGAGCAAGCGCGATCTGAAGCCAGGTTACTGTGAAAACTGCCAGGACAAATTTAAGGACTTCGACGAGGTGAGTTGATTGTAGCGCCCCGCAGTCTACGAAGTTTGCTAATCATATGGCAGCATATTCTCACACGTAAACATCGAAAGTTTGCAGAAAACACCGACAACTGGCTCGAATTGGACGAACTACTTGGCCAGCTGGGCCGCATGCCCAAGGGCTATGGCGACTACAAGTACCGCGCCGAGGAAGTGTCGATCGAGGACTCATAGAAAGTGTCGACTCGACGAACTCGTTCCGCATCATGGCGCCCATGAGAACCGATTCTGCCTCACTCAAACATGATTTTTGATTCCCCGATTTCACGACGCTGTGATCCCAGGAGCATCACGCACGTTCGCACACACACACATACATACAAAAGCTACGGATTCGTTCCACACACTTGGAACCAATGATACCAGTAGACTGACCAGAAGAAGTCGCCCGCGCTTTCCGGTCATGTTTTTCTCTTCGTCTTTCTCTAATTGGTCGGGCCGCACTGAAAGCATCGCATGCACAATGGCGTTCGGCATGGAGCATTTTATACCACCACGGCTAAGTTTTCTCATTCGGCAGGCAGGTTGGGAGGCATTGTGTCGTCATCCAGAGGCGGGATGAGTACAGATGAAGAGGGCAAAGGCGAGTCATAATGAGCATGGTGTAGATATCATTGAACAGTCTATGATTGTGTATACTGTACGTTGAACACGAAACACTTATTGGTTTGGGAAGCTAAGCACTGCTGTGGTTGTGCTGTGAGCCGCACAGTCATGGTAGAGGCGTTTTGGAGCAATTGAAAGCATTTCCCTTTATGTCCATCTGGAAGCGTTGTGAGATGAATGATGCGCAGCACACAACAAGAGCAGACGCTCGAGAATGGCAGACAGCTTCTACGTAGTTGGAAGGAAAGTACAACGTGAACAGTGTTCGGTCTGCTGCTGCTTGGATCGAATGGCTGGGGATACGAAGCGGGGAGAGCCAGCATACAAAACTAATGATACTACAGGCCGCTTATATGAGGCCGATGTAAACATTGAAGTCAGCAGCACCACACGCCGTCTCGAACACTAGGTTCCTTGAAAGAAAGCCCCGCACCGAACCGTGCCGCCCCTCCACACCTGTCCATTTAAGGACAGGCGCACGGATGCCCGCATGCCAGGGCGCTTCTTACGTGGGTCCGAGCGTAGCAAAATCTTGATAGTATTAACATGGGATGGCCATCCCATCCAAGTCTTCGTGGCTCAGTCGGTAGAGCGTTGGTCTCATATTACTATCAATATGACTCCGCCAAAGGCAGAGATATCCAAAGGTCGAGAGTTCGAGCCTCTCCGAGGACAATCCTTTTGCCTTTTGCTCCCTTGGTTCGTGTGATCATGGCTTCTTTGTGAGTCACAATGCTCTATGAAACGTTCTTCTTGACTGCAGTTGTTCCGTCGAGTCGAGTCAAGTACGTACAGGCCTGTTCGACCATTTTGAAGTCGCTTTCTTTCCCCTGCCAGAGAGCCTACTCATACTTGCAACATCGCGTCCCTAATGCTCGGAAACTTCCAAGAAGTCAACTGTAGGAAACCAAGGGCTGCTTGCTATGTTGACGTTTCGATCTCAGACACTTCTATTTCACATTGATGGAGAGGAATCTCGATATCTACAGCATCCGTGAAACTTCCGTAACCATTCCTAGGATCCCACGGCCCATCCGGAGCGTCCCAATAACACCGTCATGGCTGCTGATGGGGGTGTCCATCCCGTTCTCTGGGCACTCTTCGGCGCTGTGACCGAGGCATCCCATCAGCGCTGGTGTTATGGAACCTTGACGAATCTCTTCGTACACCAAAGACACGTTTACACCGATCGTGCTTTCTTGCTTCGCTCTGAGGCCCTGATGGAAGGAAACTCCCAGTCTTACGCGCACAATGTCGTACAGCACAGCCGAACCTGCTCCAAGTCCGTCCAAATGTGCTGTAGTCTTGTCGTTGTTCATCCCCGGGTGGTTAACCTTGGGATTATTGAATGGATCTAGAAGCCACATTTCCATGCTCTCTTGGAATTCCCTTTGGCAATCCAAGACGCCGCTGAGAGAGACGTCGTGCATCTTCTCTTTACCCATGAAGTCCAAAGTATGTGCTGCGAATTTGGAGGCCACCACCGAGCAACGCTGAAGATGACTGACCTTGTTCGCCTCGTACCACCAAACCCTTACCGATTCGTCGAGGCCACTCGTAAGTCTTGTGAGCTGTGATTCGTCCAGCCCGAGACGAGCACGGTCTAGACGTTTGGACAAGACAACAGAGCTGAGAAATCGCTCGTGGTAGTCTCTGAGGTCGATCGCTTGGCAGCATACATACAGATGAGCAGCGCACATGTGCGAAAGAACATCCACAGCCTCCATAGTTCGCCGACCTGTCAGGAAGGCAAGAGAGTTGATGCCTTGGTTGTGCATCTCGGCCGAATGAACATGAGCAGATACTGGGTGTGCGAGAGACGCCAGTTCCGACATGTAGGCACTCATGTTGACATCGATACCCTTCATCGTGTAAGATTGGTCGGGATCACCAAAGACAAGATTTGGGTCGAGGCCGTTATTCGTCGCCGGGTTGATCAACTCAGAGCACTGAGAGAAGAGCATTCGACCAATCATTTGGAGTGCGTTCCTTGTCTTGTCCATTGCGGATGTGATGGCAATTGCTTGAAAATTGCCTCCTGAATAGACCTCTCCGTCAGAAGAATCATTTCCAGGACCGACATCAATTACTGGGTTGTCCGACGTCGAGTTGAGCTCAACCTCGATTTGGCGCTGGGCCAGCATGAGGTCTTCCAGGTAAGGACCAATCCACTGCGGTGCTGTCCTTGTAGAGTACCGATCTTGCCAGAGACCTCGACCCGTCCTCTTCTTCGTCTCTAGTCCGATGACGAAATCAGAAGATCTCAAAAACTGTCTGATGTTGCAAGCTGTTTCGAGCTGACCAGCGTGGGGTCGAATTCTGTGGATGAATTCATTTGCCCACTCGACATTGCCTCTTAGACACTCTGAAGTAAAAGCTGTGAGAGCTTGGGCGAGAATCGCAAGCTGATTGGCCTCGTAAATGACCAAGCTGGCCAGAGCAGCTGAAGGAGCGGTCCCGTTGATCAAGCCAAGGCCCTCCTTTGGTTGCAATTCGACAGGCCTGATGCCGCATTCCTTCAATGCATCACGGGCGGACAAGTTCTTCCGGCTTACCCCGGATCCGATTCTTACCGTGATGTTGGGGTCTCCGATCAGAGTCCCGGCGATATATGAGAGAGGCATTAGGTCTCCCGATGCCGAGATCGTTCCTCTCAGAGGGACTAGAGGCGTGACGTCGTGACGGAGAAGTTCCAGCAACGTATCAATGACCTCTATCCGGACTGCGCTGTGGCCGCGTAGATTTTGGTTGGCCCTGATAACCATGGCTGCCTTCACCCATGCTAGGGGGATGATGTGAGACTTCCCGTCTTTGTCGGTTCGAGAATCGTCTCGATCGGCGGCAGTAATGACGGCACTTTGGGTGTGTTGGAGCAAAGATATCTGAAGTTTCTTGAGCTGCTCCGTCCGAGAGTCTGCGCTGCCGCCAAAGCCCGTGTTCACGCCATACACCACCCAGCCGTTTTCTATGTGATGGTCGAGAACTTTGATACTCTGGGCGATTCGCTGATCGATGTCCGAACTCCCATGGTTGCGGTAAGCTCCATTGGCCGTCTCGTCTGCTTTGGTAGGCGGGTAGCCCTTTATGCGCGGCACGAGTCCGTGACGGGCAACGGCAACGACTGTGGCGATGTCGAGTTGCTCACCATCTATTGCTAGTTCGGGGCCAGCTTTTGTCACATCGTGAACGGTCTTCAACGTTTTCTGCATGCTTGCAGCGTGCGGGGATTCCGAGGATGGTGTTGATGCCATAGCATGGATGCTACTGTGCGAGGACTAGATCTTTCGTCTGAGCAGCTCAAAGAGGGAGCGTAACCGAATTAGAGGGCGGTATCTCACGAGGGAGGATCTGCGTAGGAGTCGACGGGTAGAGATAACAGAGAAGAGTACTTTGAGGAAAAGGCTGCTAGGAGGGCGATAGAGATGTTTGTTGAGGCAATAAGAAACAGTCAAAGGCGATCGTCCAAGTTGTCACTACTGCAGCTACCTCGTGGCTGCAGGAGTAATATGCATTGTGCCTACTTGACCTTACCTTACCGTACCCTAACCTACCTATCTTACCTCAGGTCTCACCGGCCACTGCCTCGCCGTTTCCTTCCCTTCGATGCCTATCAAGGTAAGGCAGCAAGCAGGAACGCCTTCCATGACTTGCGCATCTTCCACCTAAACCGGAGTGAGCTGTTGCGGCCGAAGATACGGTGAGGATATGAAGGAGAATATGTTTCAGCGCCACTCGGTGAGTCGACGAGATGCGGCATCCATTTCATGTCATGACGGTAATATTTCGCCTCACAAGCAGCCTAGATTTGTGTCAGGTCGAAGTTGTGGTGCAAAGGGGCTCAAATAACGGAGCCCAGGTACCTTGAACGTGGACGTTCTCCTGGACCCCGCTGTCCGCGCTCAGGTGAGGTACCTACCTAGGTAGGGATAGGTGAGGTGGATGTCGGATTAGGTCACCTCACTGACCGTTCACCGACTACAGCGACCTTACCTCCATTAAGGTAGGTAGGGGGTAGGTAGGGGTTACTTACCTAAGGCACCTGGCGACGCCCCACACACACTGCCCGGGCACACCTGAAGTGTCTACCTAGGCATGTAGTGGTGGGTGACTTGCATGACCAACCTATGCGTTGACAAAAGCCAGCCTCTTTCAACGTGCATCCTCGTGTTCATCGCCGTTTCCTGACATCTTACTCCCCTCGCTTTGCTCGACCACAGCAAAGACCGACACGCAAGGAGGCTCCCAAATCCCAGGCACAAGGTTGATACAAGCACCGCATTACGCCACCTAGTTCACTGAAAATGGCGGACAGCCCTGCGTCTCCTGGTATTCCCAGGTCAGACTCGGCGTCACCAACCCCGGCCACAATTCCTGATCGCTCAGCCTCTCCGGAGATACCGCTCACCATGTCCGCTTCAGCAATTTTGACGGCTCAGCCGCGGGATGTTGCCTCAGCACTTGCCAGTGCTGGCGAGTACGCCTCAGAGAAGGTTGTTGTCAAGTTCAAGCCCGTGGGAAACGCTCCCGCTCTCCCTATGGCCGTAGCCAAGATATCCTCCACTCAGACCTTCTCCACCGTCATCTGGTACCTTCGCAAGCGATTGAAGCTCCGAGACGCTGAGAACATCTTTTGTTACGTCAATGACTCCTTTGCGCCCTCTCTCGACGAGATCGTCGGCAATCTACACAATGTACGTTGCTCGCGTCAACTTCACACATCGGAACTGTTGATGTTAATCGTGTAGCAGTGTTTCAAGGACTCAACAGGCCAGCTTGTGATTTCATACGCTATGAACCCAGCCTTTGGCTGACTACAACTATTCTATTAAATGGTATCAAATATTCAAGGGAAAAAAAGACACGGCAAATGCCTCAGCCACCGAGCCCCAACACCGGTAATGCAGCCCGAACGCGATGCAATGCAAATGCTCCAACTGCTGACTGTTACAGCCTTCTACAACTTCTCTAGCGTACTGGAAAACGCCTCAAGCTCTTCCTTGGAGATTGGATAAGTATGTTCAGGGCCAGGGTATTGTCTGCTCTTCACGTCGTCTCGGTAGGCTTCGATGGCCTTCAGACTCTCGCCCCAAACATCGCCATACTTCTTGACAAACTTGGGCAAGAAACGGCCGGGAGGGAAGTTGCCTGTCATGTCGACCTGCACCAAGACTTGTCCAGAGCAGCCGTTGCCGGCACCGATGCCGATTGTTGGGATGACCAGCTTCTCTGTGACGAGCGCAGCAACCTCTGCAGGAACAGCTTCGAGGACAACTGCGAATGCGCCAGCTTCTTGCACGGCAAGTGCGTCTTCGAGCACCTTCATGGCGCCATCCGAAGTCTTGCCCTGGACTCTGAACCCCCCGAGGGCGTTTTGGCGCTGTGGTGTCAAACCAACATGAGCAAGTACGGGAATGCCAGCAGTGGTGATCTTCCGAATGGTAGGGGCCATCTCCTTTCCACCCTCGAGTTTGACACCCTGGACTCTGCCTTCCTTGATGAAGCGGATGGCAGTCTCCAGAGCCTGTTCAGGGGCAATTTCATAACTGCCCATGGGCAAATCGCCAACCTATGACTGGAATTAGTCTGATGTTCAAGTGTTTGATATCCAAGGGTCAACTCACGGTAAAAGCGGACTTGGTGGCTCTTGCGACAGAACGACAATGCAGTAACATCTCTTCAACCAGAACCTCGCTGGTATCTTCCATGCCAAGGGCAACCATGGCAAGGCTGTCACCGACGAGAATGATCTCCATGCCAGCATGGTCTGCAACGTGGGCGCTGGGGAAGTCATGCGCCGTCATGACTGTGATGGGCTCACGCTTCTTGTGAAGGTTGCGCAGTGTAGCGACGGTAACCTTCTTTCTAGGGATTGCTGGAGGCGTGCCCATAGGAGAGTGCGAGCTGTACCTTGGCTGGGGTTGTTGCAGCAAGGCAGGATAAGCGGGCCGCATATGGAAGGTTGCCGACGAGGGTCGCGTGCTGCGCAGGGCAGAGGCACACGACCTCAGACAGGTACTTCGGATAATATGGGAAGACATGTGTAATGACAATTACCTGTTTATTGAAGGGCAAGCTGATGCAAAAGTGTAAGGTTTTCGCGCGGAAAAAACAAATGCAAACGATGGATTGCGAAATCAGTGGTTGTTCTCGCGGTATGGCATGGAGGAAGAAAATTTTTGGATGGCGGTGTTTGGGCGCAGCGCAAGTTTTATTATCCAAGTCATGATGGTTTTTGCTGCGTAGAATTGAGTATCTCCAAAAAATACCGGTGGTGTTTCGTTCACGCCGCCTCAAAGGGAAGAAAAGTGGGGGCAGCATGGCCGCTGGACGCCCGTGGAACGCTGGAAAGGCCCCAGAAACGGGGTCCGGTCCACCGCAACGTACCCCCGCCATTGGGTGCGCCGAGGCACGGCCCCTCCCCTCCCTACAACTGACAAAGTGCCGTTTGCTCGGATGTACCTCCACGTCCTTGGGATGAGGTGGGCAGGATTAGTGAGCGGATGCCGCGCTCTTACAGGGGGCTTCAGGGCCTCCTGTGCTGGTGTCTACAGCGTAGGTATTGTACTTCACGACTGTGCTGCTCAACAGTACATGGCGTTGCGCTCAGCCAAGGCCGAGGCAAAACAGCCTCGGGCCCGGCGGATCTGGTCTCGGTCCTCCGCAACGGCGGCAGTAGCTAAGTTTTGGCACCTAGCCCCCAAGTTTTCCTTTGGCCCTGATGATAGAGAATACTAGGGGATAGGCATAGTCTCTGACTGTGTACCTATTATCTGGCCTGCCGCTGGACGCGGTCATCGCAGAACTGCACCGGCCGACACCGCTCATTGCAAGCAAACATTTCCAAAGAAGGAATGCCCCAAGCGATACGAGAATCTCAAAATGGATGCGATTACGGTGTCTGCTTACAACTCAGTGACAACGTTGCCTTGTCTTCAGTTTTCGCCTCCAATCCTATTGTTGCTCTGCATCAGCAGGCTGTTCCCTGCAGGCCTGCCCCGAACATACTATGTACTCGCGGCGGCGAACCTGCACGGAACGGCCCTGACTCTTGCTGTTGCCGTTTGCCGGAGCGCCATCGGTTGCATCATCTGAGTCTCTCATACCAAATTGATCCAGGGTCTTGCTGGCCATGAGGACGATGCTTTGAGTCCACCGTCTACTTGCCAGCAAATACAGCCCGGGCTACGTGTACTTTACTGAGCAATGGCTGGAATACCCAGCCTCTCATGCGCCAGCACTACCTTGCACCGCATGGTATTGTCGGTCTTTGCGACTAAGAAAGTTCGCATTGTCTACCTTCCCCAGGTAGGCAAGGTGGATTTATAGATAGGTGATAGCTTAGCGCTGGGGTCAAGATCCCACGCTGAATCTATCCGCTTAATCCTCGGGCCCACCTTCCTTATCGTGGCACTTATCAGCTGTGGTCCGGGATCGCCCACATCATCATCGCGCGTGACTTGGCGTCAGGAACCCGAGCCAACTTCTCCCCTCTTTACAACAACCGACATCTCCTTTCTCTCGATTCAGCCAACACGATCGCGCTTTTCGTAGAAATTCAAGCCCATCCGAGTCTAAACAGCAACTCGATTCAACAGACATACTGTTCCAAACTTAACGTTCAACTAGCTGTCTAGTCCACCTCTGCCCGCCGTTGCTTTCCTGCCATCGTCCGAACCCCCCGCGCAACCCTCATCATGAGTAGCCCACGCAGAAGAATCGAGACTGATGTGAGTCTGCCTTGCTACCGCTTTCTAGAGCCTCAGAGGCTGCCAGAAGACTGACGTTTCTTTTTGTTTGTTAGGTCATGAAGTGAATCACCCAAGATCACGCCACGATGATGCTACTTTGCTAACATGGCCCAGGATGTGCGGCTCGCGAATCCACGGCCCCTGTTGCTTGGACTGACATATGCAGGTTGATGAGTGACTACGAAGTCACTTTGGTGAATGACAACAGTAAGCTTGCATTCCGTTCACCAACATACTCAAGCCTTTGGGTCAGCTGACAACGTTGCAGTGTAAGGACCGAACCCCACGCCCAACGACTTCCATTCTAACGACACCGACCCAGGCAAGAGTTCTATGTTCGCTTCAAGGGCCCCGCCGAGAGTCAGTACGCGCGATTTCCGGAAAGTGATAGTCAAGCTAAATAACCGTAGCCCCGTTCGAAGGCGGCGTCTGGAAGGTCCACGTCGAGCTCCCCGATCAGTACCCATACAAGTCGCCTAGCATCGGCTTCGTAAACCGTATCTTCCACCCAAACATCGACGAGCTGTGAGTCATGGGAACTTTCATAAGAGACGGACAACGTCCTGGGTTGCATCCGAAGCGAGGAACTGATGGGGGATACTGTATAGGTCGGGTTCCGTCTGCTTGGACGTCATTAACCAGACCTGGTCGCCCATGTTCGACATGATCAACATTTTCGAGGTCTTTCTTCCCCAGCTCTTGCGATACCCGAACCCGACAGACCCCCTGAATGGCGAGGCGGCCGCCTTGATGATCAGGGAACCCAAGAGCTATGACGCCAAAGTAAAGGGTGCGTGAGACCAGCGCACGCAGGCGCACGCAGCTTGACAGCAGTTATCACTGACAATAGTGCAGAATATGTGCAAAAGTACGCGAGCAAAGATGCCGCCGACGAGAAGGATGGCGAAAGCGAATCCGACGACGCCATGTCCTCAGTTGGCAGTTTTGGGGATGACGACGAGGAGCCCGCCGGCCGCCTCGACGACGTATGAACGCAACGACCTTCGAGAAATCTGTTAGAAGCATTCATGGAACTGGCGTCGATGGACACTTATATTCCCCGGGCTCGATTGGTCTTGCATTCTGTACTCCCGCTCTTTGCAACACCTCTACGACCAGGGGTTCGCAGCTGGGGGCATTTTCTTTGCGTTTATGGATAAGGAAGGCATGTATGGGATCATTTTCGGAGTTTGCAACAACACAGGACGGCCTGAATAACGAGACATGCCTCGAGAAGACGACAAGGGTTGGCCGACGGAGACTGGGGCATGCTCATTGTCACCCCGGATTGAATCTTTGGTCGACATTCGATCAATACGGTCCATTCCTTCAGGGGCCTCCCATAGTTGCCAATGATTATATACTGATCGAAACTAACCGTCACAAGTACCGTGGCTCAGAAGGTCTGGGGTGTTTGTGTATCTGCACAGCGACCGTGCTATTCAAATAATGTGGCCAGCGTTGCGCGGCAAGCCAACCAGTTTCACCTTTTTTTCTTCTTCTTTTTGTGTAGAAGGCACGCGATGAGTCAAATAATGTCCTGATGCATCGCTCATCCCGAACCATATATAGACAATACTTAAAATCCCTGGGTATCACAAAGTGTGCCTCTCTCAAAACGCCATGTCGTAAAACTTCGGGGTTACCTCATCCTGAGTCTGAATCGTAGCCCACTAGAGCTTTGGAAGGCAGCGACTTCGGCCCGTCTTCAATCGTCTTTGGATCCTCAGCTTTTACGTCCCGTTTCCTCTTCAGACCGGGTATCCTCGGTGGTGTCCGCTCCGTCCGCGCATCTAGCAGGAATGGGTCTTGCGACATGCGTGTATTGCCTACAATCTCCGACACAATATGATGCCTTCTCTTTGACGCCAACAGCTCCGCTTTTGGCGTGCCCTTTGGAGCTTCGGCCTGAGCTTTCCTGGAGCTGCCCGCAGAGCGAAACAAGGGCTTCGCCAATGCTTTGCCGACGCTTGTGGCATCATCGTCGGGTGCGAAGTCCACCAGTGCCGCCCGTTGCGCATCTTCTTCCGTCCCGGGCACGAGATCGATGCCCAGACTCATTTTATCCTTGAGCGCCTCGCCCACCGCAGCTTCCTTCTCGCGCTCCTTTCTCCCAACCCGAAATGTTTGCCTCAGGGCCTTGTTGCGGGAGTACGGGTCGTCCCACTGCCGCTTCGAAACGTCCTCCAGCTCATCGATCCTCTCCGTCGCCTGCGCGAGCAGTTGTCTGTCCTCGATCGTCTTCTCCAAGCTCGCAAAAGCGTTGCTCCTCAGCTTCTGCCTCTCCTCGTCCGTCATGATCACCATCGCGCCCTCCCTCGGCACCGCGCCGGCCGCGGTGTCGTCCTCGCCCACGTCCCGCTTCTTCGCGCCGGACACGACCACGTACGCCGTGCTCTTCGGGTCGGTCTTGATCTCGATGGCGCCGCCGCAGTCGGCGTGGCGCATGCGGAACTGCCATATCGGCGTCGAGTAGTAGCTGCCGACCCGCTTCTTCTCGGCGTTGAAGCGCACGCCCTGGCCGATGATTGTGGGCTTCGGGCAGGTGGAGCACCAGATGGCGTAGGGCATCTCGAAGCGGACGGTGAGGATGCCGGAGGACAGCTTGGAGGCGCGCGCGCCGAGGGCGTGTTTGCCGTGGAGCTTGTTGCCTGACGTCGTGCCCTCGACGTCGGGCGGGACGTAGCGTCCCATGTTGAAACCCTGCATCTTGGATGGATGTCTCCGTGAGGGCGCTGATGTGTGGTTATGGGTCGCGCATTGGCGGAGTGGGTTTGCGACGGCTCGAGGTCGTGGTGGTCTCTGGTTGCCCTTGCTGATGACGATGATGGAGAATGTTCAACCGCGTCGGACATGGTGGGGTGTCACTGTGTGGTATCGGTACCGCGGGGCAATTTGCTTATATAATGGGGATTGAGGAAGTACGTATCGCCCCGAGGACTTCGCTTCATTTCTTCCCTTAATTGTCGCTTGCCTCCCACGGACTGGTCCAGTAGAAGTCGGCTCTCGCTCGTGTATGTGCATAGTAATACAAAAGGTACATTCGCCACAGGATTATACTGTCAGACCCGTACTATTGCATGTGCGGATGTCGTACTGTTGTCGTTTGTCGATATGCACGGTTGCCGCCATTCAGCAAGGCATCCAACCGTCCAAGTCTGAAGCTTCAATACGTATTGGATGGCAATTGGTTATGCCTCTTACTCAAGATCAACCAATGTCTTGAATTGAGCCGATGGTTGCCGCTTTAAAGTATGGATGCCGTGTAACTCCTGGTCGAAGGCGAGGCTGATGGGCAATTGTCACCATCGATTGCGTGCTTTGGCTGGAGGCTGGATACATGAGGCGGCCCAACCCACCACGACTCTGTATCTCTTGAGATTTTTGAGCTGACCCTTCCGCACATACCGTACCCTTGAAATTTCAAGCCGCTCGTGTCTCTTCAACAATCCCTGTCGAGATTACTTCACCATTGTTCGTCGTCCAACCTTCCCGCACGCATCAACGATGCCATCCCGTCATCGACTTACACGAGTATTTTCGTCATCAAAAGACGTGAATCATTCAAGATGAAGTAGAGCTGCCTCTCCATGGTCGGTCAGCTTCCTCAGAGCAGCAATCAACGGTCTGAAAAATCAGGAGTACCAAACCTAGAGCTTCTTCAATCGTGAGCCCAAGAAACACGGCTGCGGAATAGGAGAACATCAGTATTTCCTGAGTCTGTAAGAAGCACAACGCGATCGAGTGACTTGACTTTTTCATTGACTTGACAGTGGCAGTCTCGCCAGACACAACCCACCCGTCCTGTCAGTCTTCGTCATAGCAATAAACTCCATCCGGCAACCTGGAAGGGTATTAGGCTATTGTCGAATCCTTTCTCGTCCAGCCCAGACTCGAAACGTTCACTTTCGCCGCGCGGTACGATCTCATCTGAGCTTGGGCGACTCCACTTTGGTAACAGAGAACCTGCCTTGCAAACTCACCTTCCTGAGCACCAGTTTCATTCACCCAAACACCCAACGGCCATGCTCCTACCCGTGTCAGCTGCTTGCTCGCCCATCGACGTCAACAAGCACACACCTTCACGGCTTCTCGGTTGGCGCAATGGTTAGCGTTCTGGACTTTTAGGAAGTACTGAAATCCAGGGGTTACGGGTTCGAGTCCCGTACCGGGAGAAATTCCTTTTGTCGGTCTGAATTATCGTTAACTTAGGCACCTGCTTACTCGAAGGCAGGGCTGTCGCTCAACAGAAGAGCAAAAGCCACCTCAGCCTCAGCAGCTACTAAACACGATTGCAGTACTGTTTTCCGTTATTATTTCAGTGTCTGAGTGGTATAGGACAGCAATATTCTAGACATGATCGGGGCTCTAGTTATTTTCCTGCGACACCTCCTCATGGCTTCACCCACCAATACGAAAACGCCAGGGAAACAATCAGTTGTAACTCGTTGGTTGCTGTCTACGTAAAGCGTTACTTCGCCAGTCGCTGACAAACATCCAACAGCAGTAGTTAAGGGAACCGGGGCCATCAAGGTCTATAAGCCATAGCAGGACATCAAGGTATATCATTTCACATCCAAATCTCAATCTATGCTAAGTATGGATCGCTCAACATCCAAAGACGATGCTATTTTCTACCCCGCTCAAAAATGACGGACGGTATAAACCCCCCAGAATTGCGCCGGCACCGCTGATAGCGTTTCGTTCCCGTTGCGTCGTCGATCCAAATCAAAGTCCAAATGTCACAAAGATGGGAGGAGCCAGAGGCGGCGGCCAATATCATCATCCCCTCCTCTGAACCCCCTCTTGGGTTGTTGTCCGCCGCCCTAGCACCCAGTGGTATCCCGCAGATCATTATGCACTTCCCCCTTTTTACCCAAATAACGAAAAAGTTCGATCCTCCCACAGAAAGCGCAAAACGACAGGAAGCATCTCTTAGAGGGTATGCTTCTCTCGAGGGTATGCTTGCTCAAGTGAGCGTCTCGTCTCGTCATAGTGTCATTATATTCCAACTTGCAGCTCCGAGCGGAGCTGCTGCAACCGTCAATCGGCCATGTTGGCCATGCCTGCCGTCGGGGCAAAGGTCTCGTACATCTCGTCGTCGCTGCTGTCCGCGCTGGGACTACGAGGGCTCTGGGCGTTGCTGACGTCGGCACTCGGCAACCCGCTGAAGTTTCCGAAAGTCATGGTAGGAGGCGCACTCTGACCGAGTGCTAGGATCCCATTGCTCCCAAAGCTACTGCTGATGCCTCCAGGCCCCATGTCGACGACGCTCCCACTGCGGCTCATCGATGGCTTCTCGGGGAGCTTCTTAAGCAGACCGGTCGAAATATCGAGCATCGTCATGGCGAAGTTGGTTAGTCCTCTGCCTTCACCAGGCTTGGAGCTGACGGAGAGCGTCCAACGGTATTCTCCCAAGCGTCGGCGGTACCAATCAGCCTCTTCCCTCCCTGGGGATGTTGCCCAAAGGAGGGAGCCAAAAGTGCCAATGAGGGCAAAGTTGGTCTTGGAAGCAAAGTACCAGAACGAGCGCAAGTGAGATGAGTTCAGGCGGTTGACAAAGTCCATGGCAGAAATGAGACGAGCCTTGGCTGCGCTGCGGCATATATGCTGTACGTACTGGTCGACGGCCGCGCCGGTGGCCTCCAGTGACCGAATAATGCGACGATGGAGGGTGATTTCGGTGGCGAAGTAGGCGAGATGGAGGTAGCCGATACTCGACAGACGATTCGATGGGACTGTGTTGGTGGTGTACGAGTTGTCCATACGGATTGTCGCGGGCAAGCTGGCGTACCATTCTTTAAGCTTCAGCTGTATCGGCTTGGCCATGGACAAAATCAGGTGGGTGCCTTGTCCGCCTGCATTCGTGATGGTCTGCTGGGCTTGTAATGTGAAGAAGGTATCGAGAATCTCGGCAAGGACTTGCGACAGCTGAACCATTTGACCGAACAGAGTTCGGCCACGCTCGATTTCCAATTTCTCCTCCACATCGTTCTCGTCCCACTCGACGTCGGGGAAATCATGTTGTGTCAGCGGTTGCACGCCCCAGTTTGAGGAGAAGATGTGCGATGGACGGCCGTGAACGAGAGATCCCCATTTATCCTGCATATACAAAGCCCATGCGAGGCGCTTCCGCAGCCCCTTCTCCCAAGGAGGTATCTTCCAGTTCGTACAGTCGAGGTGCAGGCCAAGTTCCTGTGCGATCGCGACCAGCTGGGCTGTCGGAGCCCACTGGTCGCCCTCGGGTCGCTGGGACAGCAGAAGGCCAGCCTGGATGGTGGACAGTTTCGGCCTGTACATGGCGTCTGCGAGGGTCGTCCGGATCAGCCGCTCCATGTCGGAAATGTTTGGTTTCGGTAGTCGGGCCAGGTCCTCATCGTGCTCCCACCAGTTGATCGCAAACAGGTAGACGGCTGCCAATAAACAAGGAGAAAATTCGCGATAGCTGCGCTCGTACTTTTCCAGGAAGACGGTTTTTTGGATGATCGGAAATGCGGGATGAACGATGCGGAAGTAGAGGTCGACAAGCTTGCGACCATGGGGCCGGACGAGACCCTCTATAGCCTCGACATCCTCCAAGACGTGCTCGTGGCCCGGGGTGTTGAAGTCAGGTAATAGTAGAAAGGTGTCATCGTCGCTGACCTTGCGGAGGGTGCCGCGGGCCAGAAGACTCTCGTCATGGGGATCAAATGGTGAGAGGTTGATGAGAGAAGGCTCAAAGTCGGTGGTCGGACCGATGTACTGGCTGTACCGGTCGTTTTGGAGACCCAGCGTCCGCTTGAGCAGAGTTGGGCCTCCGACGTTCGCCATGTCTTCAATGAAGGAGCTGCTGCCGGTGGTACTGGAGAGGCTGGGCTGGTGTTGCCTTCGCCTTCTGATATCGGTCCTGATGGGCGAGCTATTGGACCAATCACGTGTCAGAGATTAAGGTTCGTTATCAGACGTGACCCCCTTGGCTGCGGCGCGCCCCCATGGCAGCCCAAGAAACATCCAACGGGCGCAGAAAAGAAGAAATGACAAGGGGAAGCGACCCAAGCTAGCGGGGAGGAGGAAGCAGTGCCAGTCTTAAGGCCACACGCGCGCGCGGGGGATAGCAGGAGTTAGGAGGAGGAGGAGCGGGAGGAGAGGGGAGGGAAAGAGAGAATAGACGAATGAAGTGAGAGGCAATTGGAACTGACCTTCTTTTACCAATGGGGTCGTCAAAGTCGCCGTTCAGCTTTCGTTTCCTCGGCTGAGGGCTGTTGAGCAGGGAGCAGTCTGAGCCGCTAGCTTGGCAGGGTATGCAGCTGTCGTCGTCTTCGCTGACAATACACCTGACCCTAGAACGTTGACACGATTCGCACGGGCTGAGAGAACGCGTTGTGTATGAGCCGACAGACTCGGTGATTTCCCGACCAGGCATGCTGCCGCGGAGGATATCGAGGTTCGTGAAGCTGTCCTGGAGATAAGAGTTCTGGCGGCGGGGAGGCTTTGGAGCAATGGCGATGGGAGCCGTCCTGACGACGGCACTTGGGTTGGACATGATGGGTAGGTAGCAGGCGTGGCAGTAGAAGAAAGCTATGTATATACGGACAGGGCTGGGCCGACGCAGGGGAGAAAGACGGGCGGACGGACCCGGTTCGTCAAGACGGGGCCCCGGCCCTGGTCTGGCCTGGAGAACGAGATTTGGGGGGGTGGTTGAGGCGGGTGTGAGTTACTGCTCTCCTGGTTTTCCGGAGATGTGACGGCGGTGATAGGACGATAGGCTTGCCTGAATGCCAGACGGGCAAAGAAGGCTGGCACACTTGGCCGGGATGAAAGCTGGGCACGTCGACTGGAGCCCCACGGCGCGGCGGCAGACGAGATGCAAGTGATGTAATGTGCCTGGTGGGAGTGGTCTTGGGGCCGCCACCAGAGGTCGACAGCAATAGATTCTCTTTGGTTGAGTTGAGGCCAGAAACGAGTACGTAGCACGAGATGCACGATCCGCCAGATAGGATTGGCTGGCGGCCGATTCAATGTGCCCTTGCCCTCTCTCTCCCTCTCTCTCTCTCTCACTCTTACTCTCACTGAAATGTGGCGTGCGAGCCTGTGCTGTAACACAAAGCAGCAGATTGGCCAACACGGGAAGACCTGTAGGATTCTGTCTCTCTCTGAGATAACGCTACCCCGTACGGCAGGCCGAGGCCGGTCGAGATAAGGGTAATGCGGTGGAAGCTTGGTAGAGCGAAGACGGACTGAGCGAGAACGGCGGACGGACGTCGACCGGGTGCGATTGCGAGGGTTGACGTGACTGACGGGGGCTGGGGTCGAGACTAGGTCGAGTTGGAGAACGGTGGAACAAAGACCACGCGAGGATTGTGTAAGGTGCAAGAAAGTAACCCAAGGTGTTGCGCGAGGCGAAGAGGTACGAGATAAGCAGCAACGGGAATTGTAAACGGGGACGCTAGAATACCCTCTGGTGCTATGTCAGAAATCGGGGGTGGGTTAGGTTGCAGGATTCCGAGTTGGTGGTGGTCGGGGATTTGGGCGGCCGATAGAGATAGAGATAAAGCGGCGCTGCGAGAGTGGGCAAGATGGGTTGATTTGCGCCCGTTTTTGGTGATGGAAATGGATGGTGGTGGTTTTTGTTTTTGGGGGTGCGGATGCAGGGCCGAATTTGGGGCCAGATGCAATTCCTGGGATTGGACGGCTTGCTTTTGGATGGATCGATATCGGGTGGGCTCAAGTGACGATGAAGGCAAGGATGAGATAAGCCTGGCTTATCAGTATCATTGGGCCCTGGGGAAAAGTATATGTAAGAGGCGATGTCTCTCTTTACTGTTGTTTCAAGGATCCGTTATTGGATGCGCCGCACCGGTAATCCTGGGGTGTCGTTTTTTTTTGTTTTTTTTCCTCCTCCCGGGTCTTCGTTTGCTGGATACGGAATAATATTATTTAATGGGGAGGGTGGCGAGGATGACGGAGTGAGGAAGAAACGGAGAGAGAGAAATAGAGGAATGGAAAGAAAGAAGAAGGGAGGAAGGGGAAAAGAGTAAGTGTAGAGGGGGGTGTGGGAAAAAAAGAGAGAGAGAGAGAGGCCAAGGAGGATAAAGAGCAGTAGGTAAGGTATGGCCAGGTAGAGTCAGAAGGAGGAGACGGACAGAGAGGACGGATGGATGTTTCTGCTCAGGTACCCAGACGCGGCAGACCAACCACAACGAAGAAAAAAAATATCCGGGGGAAAGAATTGCGGATGCGAAATGCAGATGGATTGTCCTTACGGCAGCCCACCCTCTATCAGCTATTGCGCGCGTCTTCAACCACAAGGAGGATCTGCTGAACAGCAGTTAGGGGACGTCAAGCAAGAGAGTCAGACCGCCGGCGAGCTACATGCAGCAACGCAGCATCAGCAGCAAGTGAGAAACAGTCTCGAAATACGGTCCAATGCCTTAAAACTTCTTCCACGCCCCAAGGCCCCCCTTCACTATTAATGCCACGTCTCGTCTGGGTGGATGTCGATACTAAGGGGGCGTATTAGAGGAGGAGGCGAAGGCAGCGACTGACTGGCCGGCGGGCGTAGACTTGGGTTCGGTGCCAGGCGCAAAGAACGACCGACCAACCCAAGAACAAAACGAGAGAAAGTCCCAAACCTTGGTCTGCTGGGGTATGGGGATCAGGATGGGGTTGGAGCATGGCATGGACAAGGACTCCGTGGACAAGTCCAAGTAGGCAGATGGGACGGGATGGGATAGGACGGAATGGATGGGATGGGATGGGATGGGACGGACATGGCCTCACACTCTGTTGACCAAGGTCCTTCAGGGACTAGCTGTCCATCTCGCTCTCACCGACCTTGTAATCCATACAGCACTACTCTGTATTTTGCATCAGGCAAGGAACGGGAGAGGCAGCGGTAACGGCAGCGGTAGAGCAGGTGCAGGAAGCATGGCTTGGCATCAAACTCTCGAGACAAGCATGCCGACGTTGAACGGCGGCCGAGTCGGTGACAATGACACAGAAGAACTAGAAAAGTAGTGTAAATCAGGCTGTGCTTCCTCCACGCACAAAGACGGTAGACGGAGAGTGCGCGCGCAAGATGGGGCAGGGCAGGCTATGCCTCACCCAACATGGGGCAAGTGTGCAAAGCCAAGTTGCGGGCGTCCAATTGCATCAGAAAGAATTGCGATTTGGGTTCGAGGAATCGAACGACAAGGCGCGATGCAGTGGTGGAAGAGCAGACCTCGGCAGCGGTAACTGACAGCAGTGGTATGTAACAGAGTGTGGTCAGAGAAAGAAAGAGAGTGAGCAGTAGGTAGCCTGGAAGGTAGGCAAGTGACGGCGCGGGCTATGGCGAGCGGCTCTTGTCAGGGTGTATGCTTTGCAGAAGAGGCGCCGTCGGCATGTTAGTCGTGCAGGTCCAGATCTAACTGCTGGACGGTCGATAACGATTACGTCGCACAGGACGGGGCAGTTTTCGTTGCATTCCCGCCCCGAGGGTCGAGTAGGGGAAAAGAGCGTAGCGTACGGATACGCAGTATCTGTACTTGGCAGTAAAGAAAGAGAGGTGGTGTGTAGTGTGTGGTAGTGTGTGGTGGTGTGTGGACACAGACGAACGACCATGTCCACAAAAGCACATGGCAAAAGGGACAAGATGGACATGGGTTGGCCGGATGGGAAAGATAAAGCACGAGACATGGGCCGGTGATGGAGGCAGCCTTATCTCTGTCCATTCCCGGCCGGGCGTTGGGTTGAAGGTGCTACGAGACAGAAATACATAATGGCATTTGGGCAAATCACGGCTCATATATTTGACTGTCACTGTCGAGCTGCTTATTCAAGGTCAGGCCCGTCGTGGTTTGACCAGCGGCATGCATCCATGATCCATCCACCATTCAATTCTCTTTCGTAAAGGGCCGGCGCTGCAAGATCCGAGTCGGCGGTACTCGGGCGGAACATGGGCCCCACCGCCGCCCACTGCCTGTCTGCAGCTTGATGGCGACTCTGGGGCCCTGGGCCCCTTCCCGGCGCTTGTAGCGCACTCGTACCCCGAAAGTGGCTCCTGTTACCTTATGGAAAACCTCGCCGTAGCCTCTTTGGGCCTAGTGCGGCAATACCGATAACGTAACAGTTGAAAATTGCCGAGTCAGGACGGTGCGACCTCCAACTTTTGGTCCATCGACAACCGACGAGTAGAGCATAGTGTTCATTCATAAGGTACCTACTCATCACTCTGTGAGTCTCTCTCTCTGCAGGCAGTCTGGCATCTCTGACCGCAGGAAGAGGAAGCGAGTCGCATGCAGCCCGACGTGCGGCAGCAGTAAGACCCACATACAACATCCCATCTCTATCTACCTGGAGGGATAAACCTGCAACGTTGAACGCACCTCACCCAGCATCCCACGATGCCGTGAATCCTCTCCCCATATGCCGCATACCCTCTGATTACTGCTGCGTACTTTTACTCTGTACGGAGTAGTCTAGATGCCAAATCACGGCCAGTCCGCCGTCGCGTCGGTGCAGGGTCCATGGAGACTGGAGACCTCAGACTGCAGACTGCAGACTGCAGACTCTACGTTGAACTTGTCGGTATCCCCTGTCTTGTCACATTCTCGTTTTTTTTTTTTTTTTAGTCCCCTTGCTCCCACTTACAACATTGAAACGACAAACAACAAAACCCCTTGGTCGAGAGTCCGAGCATGAGGCTTCAACGGTCCCGGTTGTGCCCGACGCGCCTCCCATTTCAGCACCCTCAGGGCTCAGGGCTCATTCTCAGGGCCTCCAACGTCCGAAGCCAGATCTGGTGGACCAGCCTCAGCTCCTGGTAACGCGGGGTTGCGGGGCATCCACCACCAGGTTGCACACCTTTGGTCTCCTGCGAATCATCGGCCCTGTTTCTCTGGCTCGTCACTGGGTTCTCCGTGAGTCCCTACTCACTTACGGATACTCAGTGACCATCGTTCCTCTCAACACCACCACCACCATCTTTGTCATGCCTAGGTAGCTCTTGGCCGGCCCTCCACACCAAAACACATACTCGTTCTGCTACTCGTTCTGCCGCCGTGTCGACCAAACAAACGGCTTCATCTGCAACCTGCCTCTTGTCTCTTGGTCTCTGCCAAAAGGTCACACAGCATCCCACTCATCTATCTCATCTGCCAGCCGCCACGTCGGCTCACCTGCCGAAAAGCCCCCAAGTGTCCCTCGTGCTCATCTACCTACTTTACTTACCTACAGATACCTCGCATGTCCTTCAACCAACTTAAATCTCAACGCCCATGCAAACGCTTTACCTGCCCTTCCCACCATCTTTCGCGGGAGACCCCCACAATCCCTGCATCTCGCGCCTCCCGACCGCTTTTTCTCAACAATACCCAAGCCACTCTCCTTCTCCAAAACCGCGCCTTTCGTGGGGGACCGCTCCGAGTGTCGTGCGGCATCGCGAACTCATCACACACACCCATATCGACCCGACCCCCCTAGCCCAGCAACTCCAGACAGGGGCAATCCCCTCACGCACATGCCTAGCCGGCTCTTACGTCATTGACCTCCTAATACCGCTAGACTCACGATGCACGCCCGGCGGCTCTATCGCTAGCGTTCCGGGGGGCCTCGGCGGTGCGGAATTTGCGCCTGTGCTTTCCAACCTCGACAACCCGGTCATCGTCTGTACCTTGACTACCTTACGAATGCCGTAGGGACCGTAGGGAGTCCTCCAAGCGGCAGCTCCCGGCCGGTGAAGATTTACCCGACAACCTCTGCTTCTCGGTCCGAGGCCGCAACACGATTGACACCATTCCACGCAACCAGAGTGCTTGCAGTCATGTGAAATGCCATCTATTAAATGCCGGTTTCCCACTCGAGTCCGCTCCCCTCAATAGGTCCCTTGCCCTAAGGAAACCTCAATTCAGGCCAACTTCATTGCTTCACGGAACATGACGAAAACAAGAGAAAAGGGGATAAGTTTTGATATTCGGCGTATACTAGCCCGAATATCGTTCATCTCATTACGTGCAAAGTTGCAAGTGTGCAGTCACACAAAGACCGTTCTTCTACAAGACACACGCATCCATTCTATTACAAGGGAAGCGCAACATCTCCAACCTGGAGTTCCTCCAATTGCCCTGGCGTATCACCCTCAACCCGCGGGCTAGAACTTCCATAACCGCAAGCTGTGGGCACGGGCAGAAGCCTACGTTTTAGGAAGCGATAAACTCGTGAAAGCAGGATGAATCCCGGGCTGCGGGCCCGCGACATTCGCTTGCGATTCAGGGCTGCGGCGGCAAAATTTCCAGGGTCTTTTCCAACATTCTTATCCGCACAGTTCACAACAGAATACGCTAATGCCAACCCAAGCCGGTGAACAGCAACGTTCAAGACCACATGCACCCGATGATCTTAGGAAATGTGATTGGTCATGGAAATCTCTGATGCGTTGAGGAGGGCTGGGCGGTGTTGACCGACGTTGCTCGATGTCCTCTCTTCGAGCCGGTTCAGGCCTGATGTTCAAACCAACCAACACCATCGCGGGAAGACCTCGCTGAAATCAATGAGCTTGGCATTCGTTTTTCCGTCAATGTTTATCAACCGGCGGTCGATCAATGTAGGTCATGAGACGGAAGACGTGGCGACGGCGGGTGAGAGGCAGATGCTGCCGATCCGATCAAATGAGTTAGACTTGCAGGTCGCTCAAGTTGGCCGTGCCCAGTACCGGAATATGCGTCTCAACACACCCGTCCGTCATGCACAGCAAGCACACTTAGCCGAGATGTCTATCACGCAAAACCTCAGACCATGGCGAAGGCCTGCTGCGGTCGTCGACGGTTCCAGACCCGATGGCGAGCCTGTAGTGTGTGTGGTTCAGTAGACACAAGCTCATGCTCAAGCGTGCCTTTATCCTACATCAACACATCTTCTGAGTCTGGCGCCAGCTTCGGGCTCCGGACAGAGTATGTGACGCAGCATCCGCTTCCAGCAGCATACAAACTTCCTCGTACGTTTCCTCGCCGCCATTCTTCGCAGGTATCGAGATCCGGAACCCGCCGACCTTGGCAAAGCCCAGCTTCTTGTAGAACGGCGCGGCGTCCATTGTGCTCTCCAGGAACACCGGCAACCCTCTGGACGCCGCCTCGTCTGAAACGGCGCGCACGAGTGCCGTCCCGGCTCCGCGGCCCCGGAAACCGTCGTCGGTACACAGGAAGGTCAGATCTAGAAGGGGGCCCAATTCATTCCCCGACAAAACGGACCACCGACCGGCCGCACCGGCGTAGCGGCAGAGGCCATGCGGAGACCCGCAAGGCGGGGAATGAATGTTCGAGCCCACGATATGTCAGATTTCCCGGGTAATATATTAGCGCCAATGGCGGGCTTTGGAAATGTCAAAGTGCTACGTGAAAGTTGTGGGTATTCTCTCTCCGTGGAGCTGGCCGGCATTATGCGAGAGTCATTTGTGGTCCCGCGGAGATAGTCGTCGAAATACAATCTCCATGTTCGAAAAGGAACAAAATGGCCGAAGTCCCTTCCCCCCCCCAAGAGAACTAACTCTCGGCCCACCGCCGGCGAGCGACTTCGGAGCCGGGCCATTTAATTGCGGACTTTGGGGGCTGGTGAATGAACGTCGACTTGGCGGGGACCATCGGGGGCGAACACGACCATTACGCACCACTCGGCCTCTCTCTTGCCTGCCGTGTTTGCCAGTGGGAGGAGATGGGACTGACGCCGCACGCGACATCTTCCGAAAATCTCACGTAAGGGAAATACCGGGATGGGGAGATGATGATGAGATTATGGAGGAGAGGAGGAGTGTGAGGCGGCCTACTAGGATAAATGGCCGCCCCGGCAGAAATCAAGCAGCAGGTAGGTACGTGTAGGATAGTAACGAGCCGCAGCAGCAGCTGAAGAAGAAATTCACTCACGGACAAAAGGCCGGGTGCCCATTGCTTGCTCGCGAGCGGACGAGGCGGCGGTAGAGTAGGCGGTGAGGTATTCTTGGTTGGCTGAGACGGGCCACACGTCCTCTTGTTCATCCTCGACCACCACCACATGCTTTTTTTGGTGTTGCTGTTGATAATGGCTTTCCTCTCCTTCTTGCTGTTCTGCAGCAGTAGCATGCTGCTGCGTCTGCTCGCCCGCATCTAAGCGCTCCGAACCGAGTGTGGGAACGCCGACAAGGTCCCATTTCACAAACGAGGCGACGCTGCTGTCTGGCGATGGCGATGATGCGTTGTCACCGTTGGCGCTGCTTTCGTGACTGGTTCTGCTGCCGCTGCGGCTGCTGCGAGCGACGAGGACCCGCGAAGCTGCGAGGTGGCGGAGGGTGTCTTGGGCGAGGTGGTCGTGCAGGTGTGCGATTGAGGCCGGGGTGGGGAACTGGAGGTGCAGCAGCGGGTTCGAGGACATTGACGATATATGGATTGAGGCGATTCGGGCCGCTTCGCACGGTGACGGGGGTGATATTTTGAACATATTAGGTCTTTTTGTTGCGTTTTTTGGTGCGTTGCTCGTGTGATGAGTTCCTCGATCTGGGTAACAGCAGGTTTTGAGGTTGTGTGAGGAGTGAGCTGCGTGCCTTTGTGAGATGGGGAGGAGGGGTTTTGAGTGGAATCGGTAGGTGATCATGTGATGTGACCCAAGATGACTTCTGAGGTTGCTTTGCAACGGAAGTCTTGTCTTGGGGGTCAAATTCGAACCCTCTGTGGTGATGGAAATGAGCTTGAACGTCGCAATATTCAACTCTATTTTTGAAGACATCGTGGGTATTGGGATTGGTTGGGGAGTGTGACTTCATGAGGTTCCACCCGACGGACGCTGAAATACTCAACTTCGATATATAGATTTGTTCATGAGGTCCCCAAAAGCCGCTGGAAGATCTTCATCGTTCTAGTCTGGGTAAAATGAAAAACCGTCTTGGTTCCAGCAAAGTTAGTGTTGAGGAAGACGGTCGTAACGTAAGTTGAGGAAGCTCGGGGTAGATTCAGTGAGAAGTAAACCGTTCCATGCGGAAAATTGACCATATGATTAGTAGACTTATTTCCCCCTTCTCTTGGCTTAAGAATCATTAGATGGAGGTCGAGACAACAGAGAGAACATGTGTGCACAGAGAGGCAATTTCAGCTTTCTTCAACTCTCACGCGTGCTGGTCAACTTTCAACGTTACCGGATATATTTCATCTCATTCGACAGGGCTCATAAAAACGGTTGTCATCGTTTCACGTTTTGGAGCCGGCAGCAATGAAGTAATGCAGGGAAAGATCCCATCAAGATACTGCCATAGCGCCTGGAATCGAAACATGGTCATGATTCAATGTTGTTCTTTTCTCATCAAATCTCGTTTATTCTACATATACTACACAGGATGTAAGTGAGGGGATCTGATATTCATGTATGGATGTATAGTAATGAAAATGCCTCAGCTTCTCTTCTATAGGGTAACCTCTGAGTTACGCATGAAGTTTTGCTATCTGGGCATATACCTCAAACCAACCAGGCGGCGAACTACCTCTGCCAGGTTTAATACTTGTATTCTATGTCAAAAGTCTTGATGTTTTATTCTTCTCTTTTCCAATATCTCCAATTATCCCTATTGTTCTTGTCGTCCCTGTTGTCATCTAAGCCCTGCCCGCCCGAATAGTAAAACTCTGCGCAGCATACTTCCGAGTCGCTTCGTTTGAGCATGACCGCACGAGAATATGCGGCGTGCAATCTAGCTGTGTGAATGAATACATGCCGACGATATATTGCCTAACGAAGTAATCGATATCTTGGGCCACGCTACCAATCAGGTCGCCGCCAATCGTTCTCCTCAAGAGTACCTTCCATTCTCGTCAATCTTCCCAATGACCGGCTCCAGCAACAACGGCAGCACCTCCGCAGCATCCCTTCCAAATGCAAAGTCTCCAGGCTTGACTTTGGAAATCTGGTTCTTATCCTCAGCTTCGGGGTTGACAGTACACACCCTCGCGCCGGCCTTGTGCGCCTTGAGGATGTACCCGGCAGCCGGCCATACCTGCGCAGATGTGCCGATGACGAGCATCAGGTCGACCTTTCCCTTTTCAATCCAATCATCCACGCCGTCGAGCATCCCCGCGTCGAGGCTCTCACCAAACCAGACCACACCCGGGCGCAGGAGGCCTTCCTTGCAGGACGGACAGTGCGGGAGATCTGCATCGTCAATCTTGGGGAGCTTTTTCTTTGGGTCTAGGAGGGGTAGCGTTTCATTGGGGTCCTTTACATCCTTCGATGCGGGAGCAAGGGCTGGGCATAGGGGGTCGGCGGTGTTGTTGCGTTCGACGTAGTCGCACTTGGCGCACTTGATATCAAAGAGGCTGCCGTGTAGGCGGCGGAGTTGTTCTACGTTGTGACCGGCTCGCGGCGAGAGATCTGTTCGTGTCAGTTATTATTCACTCACACCTCCTTGACACCGTTGCAAACAAAAATGTTGGTAAGACCAAAGAGCTTGGTGAACATCGAAGGGTTGTCTCACCGTCGACGTTCTGCGTGAGACACAAGAAGTCCGGGTTCTTCTCGGCCAAAGCAGCCAGTGCGTAATGGGCCGGGTTGGGCTTGACAGTGAGTGCCATGTGTCTCCGGTACGCGTAGAACAGCCACACGAGTCCGGGGTCGTTGCGGAACGCGTTCATGGTAGCCAGCGAAGTGGCATCATGGTTGCGCCACAGGCCTCCGGCACCGCGAAAAGTCGGCAGACCAGACGACGCAGAGAGGCCGGCGCCACAAAGGGCAAGGATGCGTTTGCTTGATTTCAGCGCTTTGTGGAATTCCTCAACATCGTTGTGCTTTGCCCTGGGCATGTTTGAGATGTGGATCTGGCGGGATGCTGGAAGACCATCAGCCTTAGAGTTTCAGTTGTAGGGCGGTCATGAGCTTACTGAATGGGGTGTAGGCGGATGGTTTCTTGAGTTGCTTCAGTACTGGGAGACCAAGCTTGGCGATGCCGTGTCTCATGATGAGATGGGACGGATGCTCACTGCAGTATTTATCTTGTTCTGGCAGTCCTTGCAGATGTTGGCCGTTAGGCAACCGCAAGGCGGGCGTGCCTATCAGGCAACCTTCGCAGGGGCTCAATTGCAGAGATCCGAAACAGAACAATCAATGGCTGCCGGCGGCAGATACTCAGATACCTAGTCGCATGTTCATGTTCTCCGTCGTGGTGCAATAAGCATTCAGGAAAGACGGGAGGTAGATGTGGGGGTGTTGTGCTCGGACTAGAATCCGATTCCCCCACACGCCAAGAGGAGGTGCTCCTCACCGCGAGTGACATCACTGCAAACATCCGGACTTCGCTCACCACCGAAACGCACAATTAGTCGCGGGTTTGTTCAAATTGAAGCTTGTTGCTTCACGAGTTTGAGATTCATTCCTATCTCTCTCTATATGTCTATAATGTAACCGATTCGCTATGCCCAGTCTATGCACCCATGTCATGTCATCAACCTCATCTTATGTACAATGCTGCGGGAGCAAAGACCCGTCCGTGTAAGTCTGTAGTCCTTGTCCTGCAGCGATTCATCCCATAACTATCGCAAGCCTCCAACTTAGTTCTGGAGGACGTAGCGGTAGCGGGCCTTGCCGTCCTCGAGGTCGACGATGGCCTGGTTGGCCTCGCTCATGGGGCGGACCTGGATCCAAGGCTTGACGCCTTTCTCGGCGGCAAGCTCCCACATCTCGCGGATCTCGTGGGGAGAGCCGATCAGGGAGCCGGTGAACTTGACACGGCGCATGACGAGGGGAGCGGGGGCGATGGTGTAGGCACCGTCGTCGGGCATGCCGACCTGGACGAGGGAGCCGTCCAGCTTGATGAGGTTGAGGTAGTCCTGCATGGGAACCTTGGAGGAGGAGACGGTAGAGATGACCAGGTCGAAGGTGTTGGCATACTTCTTAGCCCAGTCGCCCTCCTCGGCGGTGGCAATGTAGTCGTCGGCGCCCATCTTGAGGACCTCGTCGCGCTTGTCAGCCTTGCGGGAGATACCGACGACCTTGTCGGCGCCCATGGCCTTGGCGAGCATGATGGCCATGTGGCCGAGACCGCCGACACCGCTGACGGCGACGGTCTTGCCGGGGCCGCAGCCGTGGTTCTTCAGGGGGGAGAAGACGGTGACACCACCGCACAGCATGGGCGCGGCGTAGGCGGAGTCGAGGCCGTCGGGGATCTTGACGACAAAGTGCGAGGGGCAGCGGTGGTACTTGGCGTGGCCACCCATGGCCTTGCCGCCGTTGTAGTGGAAGGCGCCGTAGGTGTGGACGGACTTGGGGCAGTACTGCTCGTTCTTGGTGGAGCAGGGCTCGCAGTCGCCCTGGCGGCCGAGGCAGGAGTCGGACTGGGCACCGACACCGACGCGGTCACCGACCTTGATGCCGCCCTCGGCCTTGGAGCCGACGCGGACGGCGACACCAACGATCTCGTGGCCGACGCAGACGGGGTAGGGAGCGGGGCCCTGGTGACATGTTAGCTTGTTGTCACATCGCAGCGACGTGCGTGGTGTTGTTGCTGTAAACTTACCCAGCCGGAACGCAGAACGTGGATATCAGAACCGCAGACACCGGAGTGGGTGATCTGGATGTCGACGTCGGTCTCCTCCCAAGGCTTGGGGTCGTACTCCTGCCAGACCATGTTGCCCTCGCTGGACTTCTCGTCCAGGCCAACCCAGCCCTCGAACTTGTAATCGGTAGCGGCCATTGTGATTATGTGTTGTTGTGTTGTCGGTAAGGAAGAGAAAGAAAGGGTATCTTATGTTGTTGAGTGTTGTTGAAGAGTTGAGTTGATGTGTGTACGTTGAGAGTGTCTTCCACAAAACGAAACTGCTGAAAGAAGAGGAGCAGCTCAGCTCTTTTTAAACCTTCGAACCCCCATCCTCAAAACAACGTTAAGTCCTAAACCACATCGGCGAAGAGGCATTAACGCCGCCGTCGTCGTCCAAGGAACCGTAACTTGGGACGATAGCATCCACGCAAGAGAGTGAGAGAAAAAAAAAACTGCAACACGGGTGGGGTCAAACAGCGGGAACGAGCTGGGAACAAGATGGCACCAAAGTGCGGCTCGATGCCGCGGCTCAGATCGCAGAAGGGAGGGATCCTTGGTGATACCCGTGGTGGCTCCCGCCAGGGGACATGATGGTTTGAAAGAAGCGGAACTTTTCCAGAGAAGGCCAAAGAAGGTCAAGATGCGTCGTAATGATTCGTCCGACTGGAGCGGGAGTGGCCACTCCGCGTAGCTCGGGTGGGTTCAGTTGTTATCTGGCTTAGAAATCTTGTTCAAGCAGCGCACGGATTTAGAGCTTCTCTATGGGTAGGAGGTTGCGAATGGGGGATTGGATTGGATGGGGGCAACCCGCGAGAGGCCAGCAAACAGCGAAGCAAGGTTTCCGGCGTGCCGTGTCCTCGCTCTTTCAGACGGCGTTGGAGTTCCCGATGGGTTCAAGGATTGGCGACAGAGATGGGGACTGTCCGGGCTAGGCCCGAGCAGCTGTCTAACACACGTTTACAGTGCATATGGATCCCTGGAACGAAGAAGACCCGTTGGCGATAAGGAAAAGATCCGGGATGTTCTTGGCCGCCAGTCCCGAACGATCATGGTGTTTTGATGTCATCGACTCCAGTATTCTTCGGCACTTGCACGGACTCACACCGCCATAGAAGCTGAGGGAGGGGCCGAAAGAGAAAAAATTGGAGGTTGCCAGGTGTTTGAGAAAGTGGTAGGTTGGGGATTTACGGTTCTCTGTCGTTCTTTGAGTTCTTCCATGTGTCAGTCAAAGAAAGACAAGGGCGGGAGAACCTCGGTATCCACCGCCACAGTAAAATTTGTTCTCTGTTCTCCAGCAGACAGCTTTCCCTTGAGTCCCTCCTGGGTTGGCATTTGCGGCTCTCAAAAAGTGTGGCATTCTTACGTCAAGTGCGGGCTCTTCCGTGGGCGGCATTCGTCCGCACTGGCATTTTGGTTCCGGCAAGCTTCTAGAAACGTGCTTTTTTGTGGGCTTCGGAATGGGAAACTTTGTCGTGCAGGGGCCACTAGCACGTCACCGCGATCCGCTTCCCGCCGGCCATTCCAGTCGGCGTCTCCCGTCTGCCGTCCCCGTCCGTGTCTCTAGACAAGAAATGTCAATTTTTTAGAGTTCAGATCTTCGACATTGCAACCCCACGAGTCCACAGAGGGACGCCCGTCGACACTGGATCTCACGATGTTCTGAAAGAGGCTTTCGGCCAAGGTGGGGATGCAGAGTCTTGGGTTCTCACCGATGGTGAAGTGTCTTGGCCAGGGACCTATCCTCGGTGACCAGGGTCGAGGATGCAGGTTGCGGTAAGGTGCTGACGGTACGGAGATATCTCGTCGACGCGAGAGCACATAATTGTGGGCTACCCAGTTTCACGCAGAGCTGTCGTTGTTGCTGCTGCTGCTGTCGATGCATGTTCCACCCCTCTGTGCTTCCGCGGTTGCCGCCCGTTGGGATGCCACTTTTCAACCCCTTCAGAAGCCGGGCCCGATCAAACGACAGCCCACTGTTCGGAGCGCAAACAACGAGATGGGATTACGTATCTCCGAGCAGCAGATCCCGCGCCGCGACTGGTGGTCGGGGGCATGCTGAAACTTCGCTGCCCGAGATCTCGACGTGAAATCGCGGCGGTGTGCGTCCGTAGTCGGCGTGGGACGATGACACTTCAGACGCCGTTCTTCCGGCCGTGGGAGGCTTGATCGTACGAAGAACCACCGGCTCGGCAATGCTGGGCGGTAGTTATGGTTCCAGTACGTGGTGATGTTGAGACAGTTATCCGAACGTTGGCCGAAGGCGCCTCTCCAATCCGTCAGTCTGGCACGCCAGCACAGGATCGACATTTTGACATTGAGCCGGCCATCGCCTAAGGTGGTTGTGTCAGGTAGCAACCGCAATGTCGGGAATGCTTCGATTGGCCGGCGTTGGCAGCTAAAAAGGGGAAAATAGAAGATGCTGGGAAAAATGAGGATTTTGCCACTGAAGAGCAACTACCATGGCAGTATGCGCCGTACCTGCATAAACCTGCCGGCACGCATATGCACGTCGACGGCAGGTTCGGCCCCACTACACCGTGAATATCTGTGCCTGACCTTCCGGCTGCTGCCGGGCCAGGCAACTGGCAAGCCCCGTCCCGGAGCAAAACCTCGGAGCAAGGCCGGCAGTTCCTTCCCGAATCAGAGTGCGGTGGCCGGGCAGGACCAGCCGAAAATCAGAATTCGTAACTTACCTTACCTAGGTCAATATTCAACTTTCGGCTGATATCGTCTCCACCTGCCGAACCATGACCCCCAGCCGGTGCCTGCCTGCCAAATCCATCCGGCCGAGACAATTTGAGATTTAACCGAGTCGCTTACCTGCTGAAATCCTTCCTCGTCAATCCCACCCGTCTCTTATTTTCTCCCCCTGCGACATCTAGCAGTCCCTTGAGACGTCAATGCAAGGGCCTGGAGGCAATCATGTCAAAAGTTCGCATTGCTTGATTACCAAGACACGCACAGCAATAAATCCGTAGTCCACCGCCAAGTCGATATTTGATCGCCCTCGCACTGATGCTTGTGCGGCTGGAGCGGCACCGAAAAGGGCTGGCTCTCTGAGAGGAGGCCGAGGCTCGCGGTCCACCGTCCGCCGGGCGGGGTCCCCAATTTTACCTCGACCTGGGCTCGACCTGGGTCACCGGTGCAATGGCAGGCAGGAGGTCGGGTCGGCAGGTATCTGCGGGCTCGGACGAACAATAAACAAATGCGGTGAGCGAGGGTCAATGGTGCTCCTCCCCGGCTGGAAAGCAGCTCCGGCGGTAATAAAATTGGTCTGGCCTGGGTTACACGATACCTAAAAGATGCGCCGTCGCCGTCCCTTTGATCGCTTGCGTTTGCCCAGACCTTAGGAAGACATTGTGCCGCAGGGCGACCTGGCGAACACATCTTGGCTCTAGCAGTTTATCATTAATTACCAAGACAA